AAGGCTATCAAACCCCGTTTAGTGCAAAGTACAGAAACACACTAAGTGAGGGTAGGGTAGAGGAATCCGGCAAAAGAAAAGAGCGAGAAGTATTCATCTGCCAGCATGTGAACAACTATATTTTACTGGCGACGGGAATTGATTCGCACCCATTTCCATCACAGATACACCCAGCAGAGATCGAGATCTTGATCCCACTGTCCCTCAAATATGTCCAGTTGCCAAAGCTAGTCCATTTACAAACCAACGACAACCTAAGCATGATGTCTCGGCTTCCGTTGTGCCTACAACTTATCGATATCCACACATGATATGCTACTTTATTAACAAAGGTCGTAATGGCTAACTCGGGTCAACCATACTCCCACTTACCTGCCATATTCACCATGTTCCAACGTAAAGATTCAGATGCTCACAAAACAACCAGAGACCATTCCCCAATACTTAATACCTATTCCGTGATTCTGATTAGTATCCTATCCACAATCCACAAACTTCGTTTTCAGAACGACAAGTTAGCGAACAAGCTCGTTTTTGGTGACTCTTGTCAGGCTAAAACACCACACCTGACAGGAATAAGATTGACATAAAACAGCAGATGATGGTAGAATTCAAACTTCAAGGTCATTGGAAAACAGATCAGAAGTGATCGATGGACTATCGGCGGCATGTCCCTCAACGAGTCGTTGTGATAGAGGGCCAGGTCAAACACAGCATCTGAACTACTCGTTTTTGAGCACATAAGTCTGGGTTCTGATGGCGGATAGCAATTGCCTCAGCTGCTGCTAGCATGCGACATTTTATAAACGCACTTACACATTTCAGTGACCCAAAAGCGATCCTCGTCACTGAAACATGGTGTTCATACGGTACGTTTGACTCTACTCTGGTGATTGCAAGCTACCGCCTATTTTGAAAATAACGCCGCGACATAAAATTGGAGGGTTCATAATATACCCGCGCAAAACATTTACAGCTGAACCTACAGACCACTCACTTTTTAAATCTATTTGGCTATCAGTTGCGGGTGTCTCATCTTACATATTGCCCGCATGTATTTACAACCCACCGTATGCCTCTAACTTGAGTACGACCAACATCACGTCTACGTTTGACTTCACGTCAGAATCACCACACAGCCAGACGATTTCTGTCGGTGATTTCAACCTACAAAATATACACTGGTCATACCACTTAACTTCTACGTTGCACGCCTCTTTTCTTTCTTCCATCAGAGAAGTGGGCTGGACAAAATGTATTACCAGTCCAAGCAGGTCGACCCATGTACTGAACTTAATATTCACATTGGAGTATCCAACCCACAGACGGATATATTAACAAATCTCCCTGGCAACGACCATAAAATTTTCCGACGGCCTCCAAATTAAAATGCACACCAAAGGCACCTATTCACTGCCAGATGCAACCCATAAGATAAATTGTGAATGCTTTCAGCAGTTCACTCGTTTCTCCGACTGGGACGCATTTTGCTTCTTTACCAGTGTCTACACCGACGTGGAGCAGTTCCATAAACAAAGCCATCACGCTATAGACCTCATTTATCCACAAGTTGTTCATACACCTTGTAAAGTCCTAATGGAACTTTGATATATCCCCAACCTGGATTGCTTACATTAGGACACGGTTTTTCTATTCGCTAATTATTCCGCTCTTTTACATTGATATACTGTGTCCTACAAGCGGTTACCATATCGTATATTTATTCCTATCATTCTACCACGTCATTGACGTTTCCAGATCATGCATATTATTATGTTACTGTGACGTTGCCCAAATACTCACTGCCGCAAGCTGTACAGTTTCTGCCCACTTGCACTAGGATTGCAAAAACTATTCATAAGAAATGTACTGTATTTAATATGCCTTATAGAACCACGGTAACAGGATAATTCGTTTTCTTATTCGGCCCAGACCATGCGTTAAGTCTAGGTTGATTTGTTTGTAGTTTGTAGCTTAGTTTTCGCATGATGTACTTAGTTTAGGCTTCTTATCGTTGACACACGCCTCACGTATCAAAAGATTTCGTGGAGCACTTAATCAGCAAAAAAAGCAGAATGTTAGGTGCAGCATGCATATAGACCCATTAATTTCAACTTGGCCTACAAATGCACGAATTTACCACCAAATTCGTATATGCGCAATGAACACGACGCAAATACGAATAATATATGGCCCTGCGGACAAGCTGCAAAGCTAGGGAGCTTGTCAAAATACTGCATTGTAGAATCAGTGACTGCTCTCCTCTGATTACTGAAATTGTTGATGGTGTGGGTCACTTACTCCATGATCCGGCTGAAATCAGTTAAGCTTTCAACGACTTTTTGCCACTACCATGGATCGCGGAGCTGACCCGGTGCCCGTGTGCACAGAGCTTACAGTAGCAAAAATCTTACTCAGGGTCGATATCTCGATCGACGGTATCCATCAAGTTATCGAATTAATCAAGCCATCTTCCAATCTGGGATCTGCTAGCATTTCACCAACCACCATTAAACTATGAGGACTCGGTATACCATTGCTTCTGATGAACAGCTTTACTATATCGCTAGAATTTAGCCAATTTCTGGAACCATGGTAAACGACATTTATTCTACCTTTGCATAAAGGAGGTCCCAAGCAAACCATGGATAACTACCTACCAAAGCACCACACTTTGTTTTTCCCTTGGCTATTTGAAAACTGTTCAGAAAGGAGATGATGAACTTTCTTGATTCTATTGACCTGATTAATAATTCGCAGCGCGCTTTTCTTAACAAGCAATCGTGCACCAATTGTCAATTTCATGATCTCATCCACATATCATAATCAATCGATTCCGGCTATGCAGTAGTCATCCTATTGCTTAATCTACACAAAGCATTCCACCGAGTATGCACAAGCGACTATTACAAATGTTGGAGAACTTTGGAATCCGGGACGCATTACTAGGTTGCCTATCGTCTTAATTGATTGGTCCTCACAAGGTAGTTACTTTAGGTGAATATCGCACTTTCCCGCGCTCAATCACCAGTGGAGTCAATCAAGGGAGCGTGCTCGTTCCCTTACTTTTTCTGCTCTACATCACTGACATTGCCACACCTGTAAAACAAGGTACATCACTTTTTTGCGGACGATGTCAAACTAGTCTATACGTTTCGGTGTGAAGAGCTTCACGGGACATTACCGCCCATTCGATATGCTTTACATTCCCTTGAGTCATGGTGCTGCACATGGGTGATGAACCTCTCGGCTAAGAAATCAAGCAACATGCCTTACGGCTGCTGCATCTCCGAAGGATCTATCACATTAAACAAGGAATTCATTCCTACACACTTGTCCACGGGAGATCTTGACATTAGCTGCCCGTCTACCCTCAATTTCTCCGAACAGGTCCAATACCAAGTAGCACGTGCCAGGCAGATTATGTTAAATATATCAAACTAATTACACGCAGCTCGTGCTAGAGTTGAGCTTTTCAGGCTACTCACTCGTCTCACCCTGGAATACTGCAGCATAATGTAAGGATATATGAGAGTGAGAATTGCTGTGGAGAACCTGCAGAGGTCATTTAGGAAACATCTGATTGGGAAACACTCTGCTATGGTTTATCGAGGACGTTTCGATTAACTTCATCCGGAACCTCTTTGGATTCGGCGACTGAAGCACAACTTGTTGTTGCTTTTCCAAGTGTTACGAAAAAAGATCTTTTTCCACCGACCTACACTCAGTTTTCAACATTACCCAACTACAGCGTATTTCTAAAAACAGTTAACACTGAACATACCGAAGGGAAGAACGAAAGTCCGCTCTAATTGCTTCCTGGTCAGATATAGCTGTCTGTGGAAAAAATTACCAATAAAACCCAAGTTATTTGGCCACGTCAACATTTAGAAGCATACTCGCCAATTACATTTATCTAACTACCCTAAGCTTTACATTCACATGGGAAAAATCCCTCGATGATATCTTGCAGGGGGGGCTTAATACCATCTGAACACCAATGTTTCCATAACTAGGCTTTGACATCAAACATCTGACAGAAGGGTAATACACGAAACGCATATCTCAATACACCACTTATGCATGTCCCCCATGCAAATGCTTGGACACTTATGTACAAATTGATCTATTCTGCTACAGACACAGTTTCTCCCATCTAGGTGTTTTTATATATATATGTGTATATAAACCGTATGTACAAAAGACGTAAGTCAAAAATAATTGCGGCACTAGTCTAACTTACTTAAATGGAACATTATTTATATAGAGGAGTAGCTGTCCGAGGCATACACGCAGCACCGGCAAATTTCATCTCATTAATACAGGTGTTTACATGCGACCAATTATGGGGATTTGAAATCAAAATGCAGCGCTTGGTTTCGAAATATGACCTTTGTTTCAAAGATACTACATTTCGCTTTCAAGGATGACGTCATCGGCATAAGAGTTGAATAGTGGGCATTTGTTTAGGTTCACAATTTTCAACTGACGTTTTAATGGCGTATCAACCGTAAAATTGGTCTTTTCATTTATAACAAATTTCCAGCAACGCCTTAGCGATTAAAAGTTTGAGCACACCTAAGTTCGTGTATTATCTCGTTCGGGCGGTCCTTTTACAACAACGTAAGTACCCACGTTTATTCTAATAACCCTTGGGGATCGATGTGGGCACCACATTGAACAAGCACCGGTCTGGGTTCCTGGAGTTCAGGTGGAACATAAGCTGAAGTTGGGCTTCGTAAACAGAACCTTCAGTTGGGCCGATTAGTACGTAAGCGACTATGTGCGTCCTCCCATATCTCGTGATGTTGCTGCAATCTTGTATTATGTTGGAGGACAGGTTAATGAGCTGAGGATAAGAAAAGTAGATAGGCAAAACATATCTTTATCCCGGCAACGTGTAGCACTTCGAAAAGAGCTGTTCATTGAACACAGACTAAAAAATTGGTAGTCAGTCCATTTTAACGCTAAAGATCCGACCATCGATAGAAATCACTTACTTTTTTGCAAATAATCCCGTCTGGATTCCTTTCATGAAGTATCTTGTGGATTCCCACTTTGTCAAAGCTCACAATAAGTTCTATTGCAATAGAGCAAAGGTTAATGAGGTGCGTAGTGACTATGAACCGGTTGGTGGAATAGAAAGTTTGGCCGTTAATAAGGTCAAAATGCAACTTAGTGAATGTTAGTCACAAGTAGACTCAGCTAGACTGCCACCACACATTCAGGAAAACGGTAGACGCTCGTTTCTTCCCACTGAGTTGCAGCAGTAGCGAATTTTGCTGGATTAGAACCAATGAGCTTACTCTTGCGTGTCAAAGATAAATGACACTGCTACATGCTTGAGAGCGGCGGATAACAATGCCCTAATATATAACTGCGATATAAGGCAGGTGGTGAAAGCGCTAGAGAAAAAGACTGGCCCCCAGGTGCTGTGAATTCCTTTGCAATCCACCACTACTCTAAGTGGTAAGGAAACTGTTGCGCTGAAGCGCAAATATATATCATTCATGACGGTCCACCGTCGTCATTCATGACAGTGATATACGTCGCTGGCACATAAGAGTAAGAGCCTCGGTTCGAATCCAGCAGCATTCAGCAGCTGCGCGCTACTGACGAGATCCAATGGGACGACCCAGCCATTTAGCGCTTTGCTGAATTTGTGGTGGAAGTCCGGTTGAATCTGGCTGCAATGAATCTTAACAAATACCAACACATCCCTCTACTGCTCACTAACTAAAGATGCACTATACAAACTGCTTGCATGGTTTCGATAAAAACTCGAGAGCGGGTTTCTGTGATTCCGTTCGAATTAATGTAGCTAAGAGAAAGTGCAGAAAGGTCAGAATGCTTGAGCAAAAGAAGCCGTGATTTAACTTACCGAGGGCTTTCCCATTCAAAATCGTGTGTGAAGGCACTGTGGGACGCAAATTTCATACGCAGTAATTGACGAAATCCGGTGTAAGGTTCATCACACGGAACATCCAATAAAGCAACACTTATCCTTGTTAAACTTTAAAGGAACAATGAAAGAATGCGATTTATTTAATAGACTTGTGTGCATCTGTTCGTTAAGTGTGTTTACGAAGTTGTAGACGAATTTCAATCCTCCTGCAGATAGGTTTGTATGACAGTGGAATTGACGGACACTGAAGTGTTAATGGTGCTCTATTACAGTAGTGCATCAGAAAATAAACCCTAATTATAAGGCGTATGCAATTAAGTGCGAGGAATATTGGGAATGCTTAGAGTTGACTGTGTACAAATGGAATGAATGAAAGCATTGGCTGAAATAATAAAAAGTATTGGTGTTGATACACGGTTGGAGGCCCTAACGAACCGGACAGTGTGTTGCACAAACGTCAAGTCACACGACACATGCCAACAGCCGAGAAGATAGGGTGCGGCAGTGATTTCAACTTTTGGTCTGCGGACATCCAAAGGTTCCACAGGACACTTGTAGGGGAGCCAGTGTGACCAGAGCTTGTTGCATGCTCCGCCTTCTTCTATTTTATTAAGGTCTAGTCCTATGATTATAAATATTTTACTGGGTACACTTTGCCATTCGGTACTAAAATGTTTTATGACCCAACGGTATTGAGGAGCGTGGGCCAATGCAAAAGTGTGTGCTAGATAAAGCGCCTCACATGATCAGTGAGCTCATATACATGGACTAGCGTAGAGCAGTTAGCATTAGTAAATTTCATGGTCAGAGCTGCGTGACAGTGTTATGTTTTAGTTACCGAATCTCCGAAAGTAAATTTGCAAGGACAGACTGTAAATTATCTATGGGAAACTACAAGTTCATGCAATGTTAACGTCGTGAAGACCATGACTACATACTACTGGGAGGGTAAGGAGCTTGAATTTAAATTCCCCTAAGCCTAACGACGACGGTCACACCGGAAGTAGTTTTGCACATAAGTTTATTAAGTCAACGTGAAGCAGAGAAGTGAAAATAACGCACGTGCTGGTAATAAGAAAACTATAGAATTCCAGCGACTTGTGTCCGCCCGAGCAACAGATGGCCGCGGCAATAGCCAGGTACTCAGTTACTCAAAACAGGTTGTATTCTGCAGTTCAAACCTTACACTCTCATCAGTCAATTTTCGGCTAGTATGCATTGACTCTCTCTTCGATTGGTGAGTAAACGTCTGCAAGGAAATAGTTCGGCTCGTAGAACAAGCCTGAACCTGAATAGTATTCTAGGCGTTCGGAACGGCACCAGACATTCTTTAACTGCTATCCGGAGTGATCAGCTGCGCGTAACTATCAGCTGTGTTAAAATCCAGCCTTCTGTGTCCAGGATGCGTTTGGAATGGTGAAGCACTGTCATAGATTACCACCTGGTTGCAATATGACGCAACCTAGTCTGCTGGAAGCTAAGTTAAGAATGTTGCCGTTGACAAGATTGGTCCTCAGACACGGCTTACACTGACAACGGTTACGTACCGCATAACCTTTAGTGTTTGGTTGCAGTGCACCACATCACTGTTAGCAGTTAATTGATGATGGTCAGCTGCCTTTTAGTTTCTTAATTTGCATGTGTTCAAATTTAAGCGAATTTGACAAATACGCACTGCTGAGAAATCTCGATGAGACGAAATGACCGACTAGTGGTTTTTCAAACGTGTAAAGTATTAATTGACTTAGAAGCGGCTACTAGACACTCAAACAAACAAACAAACACACGTAATACTTCTTGTCATGCGTGACACAGGCAAAATACCTGCCTGATCAACTGGTTCAACAAAGCTGGGATATGGAGACATTTTTCAAGATCACTTTTGTTCTCCCTAAAGTGTTTGCAATGCTCAATCATTTAAAGTAGTAAAACATGAAGAAGTTGAGAGTAGGAATAAAACTTTTTACAGCCGTCAGGTCAAGTAAAACAATACGACGCTTCATGGAGCCGTCTCCCGGAGAGCTGCTTCCAAACTTCAATTACACAACTCATCTCGCCATGTGCTGTTGTGGCTTAATGCATGTAGCCAATGTATATATTCGACTCGTACTTTTCTTGTTAGCTCTTGTCACATGCAATTTTGTCATCCTCATGGTGACGGTTTATACATAAGTATGTATAACTGTATGTAGAGGCCTATGTAAATTATTAAGCTCTCCCCATTATACAGCCATTATTTAGCTAATTCGAGTCCAGCCCTCTTTATATTCCCCAGTTAGTTAGTAACTACTCGAATTTCTTGAGTTTAGTGCATTTTTGGAAGCATGTATCCATCACCTCAAGAGTTCGGCTCAGTCCTGGCCAACAGTGGTAGCAGAGAAACAAGGAAAGTAAAGGTCTGAAGCAACATCTACGAGATGATGAGCTTTTGTCCGAACTGGTCCGATACATATTGCACAAATTAGCCCTGGTGATATAAACCGTCAATTTACACATTTTTTAATGAATTTTCATAGGAAATAAAGGAGATAGATCCAACGGGTTGTAGGAAATCAAATTTTGGAGATAGGGGATGTTCCATCCATGTTTGTCGCCCTATGAGATGCCGTAGTTGCACAAAATATTTTCCCCGGGAGGGAGAGAAAACAGTATGATTTTTAGGGTATCCTCATTATACTTTGTATGAACCAAAACGGTGGGGATAAAATGAGCCGCGATTTTTTCTACCACTATCAATTTACTGAATCTACTCATTTCCAGGCGAAAACGCACCAAGTTGAAGATCAGGCGTAAGAACTTTAAAATGACAACTGAGCAATTAGTATCGGCCAGATGTGCGACGACAGCAGTGGCGCACGTTTTGTTTACTCCCCGACCCAAACCCTCTAGGCATTGCTCTCGGGTATGTTTGCTTCAATGTCTCGTGATGTTGCTGATGTTACTCGTCACACAGACAAAGGTCAATTATCTTGTCCAAAAACTGATATCTACCAATAACAAAGTTTTTAAGCTGTAGAGGCAGAATTAGTTGGGAAGTGAAAAGCTGTAGCACGGTGTTACTACTGACACCCGTGTAGAATCTGGTGCGACGATCACGCCTCGTAGAGGCATACCATGATACAAACGTGACCATGTGATGGATAACGTAACTACCGTTTCGAAATCGCGACATGTAAGCCCGCTTCGGATCGTTTTCAACTTGAAAAAAGGTGGATATTAGAGATAGAATCCGGCAGAGCTTTAAGTTTAGACACTTTCCTATGAGCACGGTATGGTATTTCTAACGAAAGAACGAAGTTAGGTGCATTTAGAAAATTCAACAAACCATTTCATTAATTTCCGTGGCATTTTTGCTGTTTGTATGGACAAGCTCCAGGCTATATTCTTTTGTTTCCGTCTCGCCTTGTCTGATTTACGCGTGTTTTGAAAATCGAAGCTCACATACCCTGTTAGACAGTAATTTGCGCTTTTATGTTTATATTTGAAACCAAATTATTGCAACTATTGTCAGGTGGATAAGCTCTGCTATTGTCATGTAACGCGGTTTCCTAACCCAGTTGTTCTACGATGGTCGACTCTTAATTAGGAGTGAGAGGGGATAGGTGAGTAGTTTGACCTCGTTGTGTTATAGAATCACATCTTACGAAGCTTGACGCAATAGGTTAGGAACTTAGACAACTTTAATATTGCGATAACATGCTCATTTGCTACCACTGTAAGGCAAAGAATCGAGATTTATATAAAATGGGAAATAACAAGTAGTGTAGTGTGTATCATCTAACTGCAGAACTGAGAAAATTGTGCTTGTTAATCCAACGAAACGTAGCTCTCTGTACAAAGCTGAGATGGTTGACGAAAATTTCGTCGGAGCTAGACTCTGCTAGACTGCCGCTACAAATCCAGGATAGCGCTAGATTGACATTTCATTCTATTGGGAATTGTCAGTAGCGCGCACCTGCCGAATCCTACCAGATTCGAACCCATGAACATATTATTTCGACCCAGCGACTTGTGCCACTATACCATGGGTGACGGTTGTGGTGCGCGATGACTTACATGTAGCTGCGATATAGGGCAGTTTGTGAACGTGTAGAAGACAAGGCTGGCCACTGGGGCTAGGACTTCCTGAGCAAGCCGCCATTAATGAAGGCGGCATGTAAGTTGACACACTAAGTGGCAGTTATGTATCACTCATGGCGGTCCGTAGTTCATTTACTTATGTCGCAAACCCCTAAGAGTAGGCTTTTGGGTTCGAATCCAGCAGGTTTCGGCAGGTGCGCGCTACTGACGAGGAAGTGTGGGACGAAAAGTCGGTCCAGTGCTATTTTTGTTGCGTGATGGCACTCTGGCCGAGTCTTACTAGAAAGTATCATCGCGAAACCACAATAACGTACTCGAATGTTTACCAACAAATTCTAATATATATTTATAAATATATTTATACGCCGCATTTATCTAATTTTTTATTATTACAAAGGACAGATGGACGGCATGCATCCAGCTGCAATCTTCTTTTCGTTCGTCACACTCAAGTTCGATGGGAAATCTCTGTTTCGACTTTCTTTTGTATACTAACGGTTGCCATATCCGCTCCGATCTCTCTTGTTGTTTCCCTGAAAGAATTTCGTAGGAAGATTTCGAGCGCACAGCTATTTAGATATTTCACTCCGTCGAATTGCGTCAAAGCTATATGCGATTCAAATGCGATCAAACAGGTCAAATGCATTAAAAGCAATTGTAGTGAAAATAGTGTGGTTGGTTAATACTGTGACAATTTCTGTGCATACCATAGGACGCTGATTTCCGTCGTAGGTGCACAGGAAATGTGCAGTTCGCCTCAGGCTTCTTCAATATTCTGAGAAGATGCAAGTCTGTCACGTCTGTTATCTTTGCTGCGTTCATGTAGGCTGGGCTTAGCAAGTTCAGTCTTGCAAAGGAGTATGGAGGATTTGTAACTGCCTGTTCAATGTGTTCCACACGACATTTAGACACCTGTAATGCAAAGGCCATAACCGAGTAGATCAACCAGTTCAAAGTATATTGTGATTTTGTGCAAACTAACGTTTACAATTACAATGGCCTTAAGTCAGTTAAGGATGCTCTGAAGTAGAAGCAATCAAATATATTTATCCAATAAGCATAAACTTTTGCATATCAACTAAAACTTTGTCCGCTTCAGCGAAACGCCAATATATTTACTCACGCTCCTCCAAGTTTGTTTGATCTGTGTAGGTAAAAATGTGAATCGAACAGTTTGATTTGTCTGAACAAAGCATTATGTGTAACACTTGTCTTATGTAAACTAGTGGAGGCTGATTAGTAACAGTTCTGCTAATTGCACAATTTCTGAACAGAATCTACTGCATGTGATGCTGAGGAATCAGTATGTGTGGATCGAAAATTATTGTAAGCTTGACCTTGCTTGGTACCTCATGTTTCGTCGTTTAGGTCATTTAGACAGCTTAGATTTAATGACTTGATTATGAAGTAACACAGTACAAATCTTGAAGCGCACAGATGAATATCACTTCGCAGAAAAATATGACAGCTATTTTCCTTTATTTTACAATGAAACACTGGATTAATTCTGCTGTCTGGATGACCTGAAGTGCATGCAGCGACATTCATATATGGCAAAGTGCGCTTAATCATCATTTGCTTCAAATGTGCAGACAATGTTCCAGGAGCTGGTATTTTGCGTTGATACCAGTTTCATCACGGACGAACACTGGATCCGGAAGAAAACGATCGATGTTTAATCACACCCTTGAATCCTTTTGAACAGTCACAACTGGAACATCTATGAAGCAGCACGACCAATTTAGACCTTTTCAACCTAGGTGTGATTTCATATCCGTCGATCGGAAAGAGTGACAATGACCTGACCGATTCTAAGGAGCACTGACCCGGAACTCGGATGCAAATGCTGTGACCATAATCAACCATCACAGCAGCACCTAGATGATCTTAAACAAACTGTTTAAATGCAACTGTGATCCGGAGCTTGAAGACCCATGACCAGATCATGTCTGATGAAGCACTGCCACAGGAAATTGGACAGTGAATGCATATGTCGGTCGGCTGATCCCATCTTGATATATCTATACAATATTATCTACCTAGGTTATCAGTGTGAAGCAATGAGTAGCTTTACATAGCTTTTCAAGCTAACGCTTCTGCACTCCTAACAGTTTCTTCATTAGAACAATATGTTCAAAGCAATATGTTGATTAGGAACCCTGGTTTGTTAAATACAAGATGCGTTGCTGTTTCATTTGTGCTCAAGTTAATATCCAAACACTTACGACATCAAAGAAAACTGCATCTAACCGAGCACTTAGTAAATTTTGTACTTACCTTTTCGAAAAATGACGCGCAGATGTCCCTTGTCCATGGCTCGACTTTCATGACCGTATCCATGTCTTGGGAACGAAATAATACAACGCACATAGAAAGAAATAAGGTTTACATGACTGTGTCGGGATGACTTGATTTCACACGCCCACATACAATCACGCCGAAATGCAACCATCTTTCACTTGAATAACATCAACTGAGGGAACAAATTTAAGCCGACAGATAGAAATGAGTTTGTTTTGAGTGTTTGCAAATGCGACTAATGTTTGCTGGAAACGACGTAGCATTACTCATGTGAGAGTACGGAATACTCAACCATGCCCTTAGAAACCAAAACGAAGCAGACTCACGAAACATTTCGTCCTCAACAGCTGTCAAATGACGGGATTAGTGGGAAGCAGATTGTCATTTTAAACTCATTAGTATTTGAAAGAGAAATATTTTTTGTGGTGCATGGCTAGACTCAGTTAAAGTGATATTAACACTTCACTAATCTAACCATCCGAAAATTAGAGTGGGTGGAGGAGATCTTCTAACAAGTCTTGAGCACATGTTCACTGGTTATATCTGTTGATATCATCCACTTAGTATCCGCTTCAATAATAGGTGATATAAAACTAACGGGAACTTACTTTGCTTCTTTGGCCAATATATTCCACCAACGTGAACCGCGGTCGTCTCATTATTGTAGGTAATATATTTGAGATACCGCACAGGACCGCTCCAGTATTCCGGGTAATCCCATGTAACGTCGTCTGGGTAATGGTGTATAAATATGCAACCGTATAAGTAGTTCACTGTTCCTATCTTTTTGCAATTTATGCTTGGCGAGGCGAGAGAATTCTTTGGTGCAGTAGAAAACTGGATAAGAGAATGGAACAGGCATTTGAAAACCAGTAGTTTCGTAACAGTATATTTATATCATTTGAGATAAGATATATCGTTTATCACATTCGCTTGTTTGAGAGAAGCTAAGCTTGTGTAATTTCAGAAAAATAATGATGGACCTCAGACCATGATTTGAAAGGGTATAAGAGTAAGGTATTTTGTCGGGAAAAATGCAAATTTTTCTCAAAGTCAGTAAAATGATTCAAGGAGTGCAAATACAAGATAAAAACACTGGGTCTATAAAAGAAGATGCAAAACACTTAACTCATTAAGTGGTTTGTTGCAGTAGAGCTGTGAGTATACTTGCCAGTATTTTAAAGGATTCGCAAACGGACAACTTTGATCTGCATTGCGGTTATCATATAAATGCAACGGGTTAAATAACGTAGGCTAAACGTTTCGACGTATCAGGAAATCAAGTTTTGTTGACTTGAGGGCATTAATAACATTTGATGGGAGATAGATCCAGAACAATGAAAAGCGAAGATGTTAAACGTTTCACCGACATTCTGGTCCACTCTACAACGCAGTTCAGTTACTGTGACTCTGCTTCGGAGTTTGGGGTTGATTGAGTATTAAATGATGATGGCAAGTATGACCAGAATTCGAAAGATCACTAAAATTATTGTTATATCTGCGAAAACTTGCTGTAGTCTCTTTTAGAGTTTTTATCCTGAGTGAGGACGTGATGTTGGAAACTCATTTGGCGCTATCTATCACACTGTGTTGTGTTATCTTAAGCTCAGTGAAGTGGAGTTACAGATAGGTATGCAATGCTGTGATAGGACGTTCTGTGAGCGGCGTCCAACACACGCCAAACAGCTGCGCAAATATTGGGGTGCTTATATTTCCGAGCCTACTAAACACACACGGGCCAACGTGCTGATCTATTTGCTCCGATACATTTACATTCGGCCTCAGACAGTCATGGTCACTTTACAACAGCATAACGAGATCGCACTCATGAGAAGTGCATTGCATAATCTGTAGCTCGAGCATGCAGCCTTTTGGGCTCCGTTAGCGTATGTTCAAAACCTTGCGGTTTGTAACGCTAAAATATATTATGTTTAAACTCGACCACTCATGAGCACTATACAGATCCGCTTGCAGGGATTTGTGATCCTCTCTTTAGTGATAGCGCGCTGTTTCATCGAAACAAATGTGGATACCAGAAAATTTGAGGAGAGCATTCTCAAGTGGTCGTTCAATAAGACGAAAAAGAAACTTGGTCCGAGCACGGTCCATTTACGTACGATACAATGCATCTTGATTGGGTCGTAGATGGTGTCGCTACCACTTTTCATTAAGACGACATTGACAGAAAGATTTGCCTATCAAGCGCAGAACTGGATCGCCGATTCCATTAATTTGAAGTGTGTCCTGTATTGAGTGCTGATCCAGAAGGCCGTGTGATAGAAATATCCGGATGAACGTTATATATTCCTTCTGCCGCATTTACGAACCCTGTCCATCATGAGAAAGACATTATTTGACTCGTGCTTGGATAGCAGTGCTGCGCCGGTACGATAAATATTTGTTTTTCAAGTACTCCAGGAGTGCCTCGGCTACAGTGACCTCCACGACCTTATTAATCACCGAGATTTGTGTCATCGGTTAATAACTCGCGGGATCAGCACAGTTGTCACTTTCAGATTCGGATGATATTCCCGAGCCTCCACAGTATTAGAATCTGCATCTACTTGAGACATCTCTGAAAGAATATTGGTCGCTGGTAGGCAAAACATATGGCAGTTGCTTTCAAAGTTTTTTAAGCGAGCGCTGGCAATATCGAGGAGCTATACTGCTGAGAATAAATCATCCGCTTTAGTAGGTCCTTAGGTGTAAGTAGTGCAAGAGTAAGCCTTGATAGCGATTGATTAGTGTCCTTATGACAAAAGATGAAATTAGCTAAGATACTTCGAATTTTCATCCACGAAATCCATCAAGTCTTTATTTCTTTGTTGCCAGGACATGTGCTGAGTTTGGAGCGCAAATTTCATAACTTGATCAAAACATTTTGTTTACCTTCTTGTAACGTGACTTGAGGTTACGCTGGCGTTGTCAGCGTGTGTGTGCTAATTATGCAATCCTGCGCTCTGTGTTAAATTGAACTTATCCACTCACATATTCGGAAGTACGCTCAATAAAATCTCATCACTGAGCTCTATCCACCGGGGTCAATATTTTTGAAGCATCCAACAACGCGCTGGTACACCACAAACAAACGCTTCCGAAGTCTATTCACTAATGCGAACTTGAATAAGTTTGGTTATTTGAGTTTCATCAATGCTTTTGGGATACCATTCGACAGAATTTCTTTACGGCTGTCAGTCAATATATATCTTAGTACTATGCGCCACTGTATACCATAGGTACATGCATTTTGTCATCTCACGTTACCACCATATTTTTACATGCATTTCACTGCACAAATCCTGTGTGATTTTGGCTACTTGTGTGCGTAATGACATACTACCACCAAACCGGCTGACCGGAGCAGACAACTGCGACAGCCCAAACGGCGTGACCAGCGCAACCTGAAGGTGCGTACGGACCGTCGATCCATGGGCCGGAAATGTTTGTCAACCAGGAAAAAAGTGAACAACGAACCCAAGGTCCACCGTAGCTCAGACAAGCGGGGAACTGAGATTCTGGAG